GGGATAACAGGTCACGGAAATGGCATGCACGTAGACAGAGCCACAGCGATACCACAGGACACATCTATCTTTCCACGTACCGTTATGCAAAGGGTTTAGGTGTTAAAATCGCGGAATATTATGGCCTTTGCAGTAGTTAGATGTAACCTTCATACGAAGAGTTATAGGAGTTATCCCTAGAAGTAGACTGTGTCCGTTTCTACTGCTCTATCATTCGAGTGAGGCACGTAATAGAGTGGCATTGATCTATACAACGAATCACACGTGTCCTAGTTCTACACCGGATCAGCTGCACGTGCTCAGAAATTTCACTGAACGACGTGCCCTCGCGAGTTTGCATCTCATTTCGAGTGGAAAGACGATCATTTGCGTTTTACATACGACGGGTCCCAAGCAGCGGTGGAGCCACTCGGACGTATTGTTTGAAGAGAAAAGCAATTAACGGCTCACAGCATCGCGTGACAAACGGAGACAAAACAACTTTTCATAATGGGAACAAGCCTCTTTCCAAAAATGTATCACAGTAAAAATTTGTCGCAGGCGCCTAAGTCAAAGCGGCTCCACATGTGGCACATGTGGTGCGTTTGTAACACATACTAAAATAGGCAAACGTATCCGCAATATTATTTGGAATACCATTTGAAAATAGCTACTGCTTTCTTTTTTATACCACTAGCTTCGGCTAAAAATAACCGTTCTCATTTGGATTCTATAAATGCCTTTTGATAATTAATTATCAGGTGCGAGTGGCCGTTTTGAGCAATCATATCATGGTAATGGTCAGGTCTTATCTCAGAAAAAGCTTATGTGGGTAAATCCACTTTATTGGCTATGGAACTAGTACGTTTCAAGTCAGATCTACACAAGTACAAAATCTTTCTCATGCTCTTTCCGTTTATCCTATGCACGTATACAACTGGAATTAGTGCGCAGGTGTAACTTAGCATGCCAATTTCGTTGAGAGCAGAGCTTCGTCAAAGGTCCGCCTCTGACACGGTGCAGCCAATGCCAATACAGATCAGGTCAGCAACTAGACACCGAATTAGTGACAATAGACAGTTTCTAACAGAAGAATGCTCTACTGTCTATGTATTGCTTTACAGGCTTAATAAATGTTTTAGGCCAACTTACACACAAGCGGGGAATACGAGGGCAGCGATGCACGTGATGGTGACAGAAAAGTCAAAGGAGACCGCAGGGCCGCTCCCAGAGTATCCACGTCCACGATTTCGATGCACGGTCATTTGAACCCGACCATTACGCTGCCTACCGCTTCCGTGTACTTGAAGCGTCGTTCATAGTTGATAATTTCAAGCACAAGGATGTCAGCTTGCCTTGGACAAATGTAGTAGCGCATTGTGAATGGTGGACGGAATGTGCTCCTACGGCAAAATCGACTCATCTATGAGTCCGCGATTATATCTAGGGTGTGCCGAAGCACCGAAGCGAAACCGTTCCTTCTTATTTTATTTGCGATGGCAAAGAGCATGTTTCTTGATATACTTATAGTAAGAAAAGAAAGATTCTTAGCACTCTATTTGCAATACGATGCGTGACTCTCCGTTTTGTTTGAGCTCCTGCTTCTAACTTCCGCGTCGGTTCACTGGCTCTTCAAAAACGACCAGGAGAAAAAAAAACATTGTCTGCCATGACTGTCTAAAAAGGCAGCTATAGATGAAGAAATACGAAGACTTGATACTGAGCCGACTCGTTTGCCAATCCTCTTCGCCTCTTTTTTCCACTCGTATGAACTGGCTGTACCCTTTATCTGTACCTGCCGCTGGAGAGCGTTATAGAACATAGAGAAGGGCCAAGAAAAGGAGAGGCTAGCCAGTCGAAACAGCAGGAAGCAAACTTTGTGGCACAGGCAGACGGAACATAAAGGCAACACGGGAACACAGCGTTTTTTAACCCCTTGGAAACTTCGTCTTTTCCGCGTGCCTAATAAGGCCCCGATAGCATATAATTCCCGTAAAACGGTAGTATGTTATACACAAGAAACGTTCGATGTAGGGACGCCTACGTGTGCCAGAGATGCATCTTGAGAATACAATGTAATATCCCACCAAGATTAAAACGATATGAGAACCTGCCAAGACGCACAAACTTACAGAATCTTCATTTGAATGGGAATGCGCTGGCACTTTGAGGCTGCCTTCGCTCAAAAAAGTGCTCCGATTGTTGTCACTACCTAGAACCCACCAAAATTACTCGAGGGTCTAGGTCTCATTATTTCAAATAAGTATAGCATGTTACCTCCAAACGTAGACGTGTCTTGTTTCGATATAGATTCCAACCGTATCACTCAGTCAGTTTTCAAGCCAATAAGTCTCAATTCGGCATTCAATGACTAGCTTATCACAGCACACTATAACACGGCGGGAATATATTAGACAAGGTTTTACGCATTATACATGGGGCAGTTTCAGGCTACGTTTCAATTGAGCATTGGTGCAGATGGCGAGAAAGAAGGCCAAAACAGAGGCAACAAGACTTCGAAAGGTGTTGTACTACATCGCCTTCCTTTTTACGAAAAAAACAAAATAGACTTAGGACCATGGACCAGATGTACACCACCTTAGAGGGGCAGGGAGCGGAGTTCACCAGATTGAATTGTGTGCAAAGCAACCTGCATGTTAGTTGTTACGCTAGACCTTACCGTATAACAAAGCAAAAAAACAGTAGACAAGATCGCATTCACAGCGGCACTGTCATACTATTGTGATAATACTTCAGATTATGACACAGTGCGTCTGCTCTCGCGATTGTGTAGCAAAGCCCATTCTGTACTATTCGCTCTAATAGTGCCGGTCTTCGTTTTAAAACAACATCATAGAATAGAACAATGGAAAAGCAAAATCCTAAGACCCAACACAATAAACAGTAGATTGGCGCAGGTCAAAGTACTATGGCCCCCCTGTTATGTGGTAGTTCCAGACAAGCAATGATTGCTTTTTCTTCTCTACTGTTCGACTATACGGCGCATCCTTCAACGCGTCCTCAAAGAACTTTCTCCCTTCCGTTCGACTGCACATCGCATCGGCCAGCAAGTTTTGCCTCCCACATGGACGTCTGCTTAAGTTAAACTTAATATGCGACAACTAATCCATTGTGTTTCGCATCTCTATAGAAGGACAAAGATTCCCGAAAGTTTGTGAAGGGGAAAAACGGAGTTTCAGTCAATGATACCGTATATTGTAGCTATAGCAGTGGTTCGATTAGAAAGGGAAACCTCCCAAATCTAAATAGACGAAAGGGTCTATTTTCCTTGTCAGTTTTAGTGGGCCAGTGCCGCAGGGAAGACAGGCGAACAACCGAAACCACGTTTTCAGTGGTAGTGAACAGTGGTAACTTTGGATTAGACTACCCGTACCACCAATACGAACGATAGAGGTACTGCGATGGCCAGTCAGGAGAATTGATGTGATTAAGCAGGGTTTCACTGAGGCTAGAAAGTACGGTCCATTTGGCGCTTCCTTCATTGCATCTCTTTCTCTACGTATAGTTAATATGGCAATCATGGTGCTTCTAGCGTACGGAAGCAAGAAATCGTAGATCTTGTAGCATTTTCCTTAAAACAAAAGCCGGACGGCGTGTGGCAGATTAGTTTGACTAACCTAATCAGATGAAATCGTCGTTTCAGCCAATATTTTTATTTTAGGCAGTGATGCGCGGTATAAAAAGCTTTCACCTTGCGTGGCACGTAGCCCAGTTACAAACAGTGACCGGCCATCGGTGAAACCAAGGTTTCGTGCGTGAAACGTAGTAACAACCGCGTAGGACTAACAAGAGTTCAAACCGTTAGCAGAAATGAACTAGAATGCTTTCATTTTTTGAGGTAATGTTTGACATTTTTTTAAAAAAAACGTATAGTTATTTATTTCAGGCTGTATGGCAGTCTATGCTTTGCTTCTGAGTGAGGTCATAAAGGGTCCCATGCAACGTCTTTCCTCTAGTGGTCTTATCTCTCATCGCCAACGCCATCTGCCCAGCACTCGTCAACACTAAATGCAACGGTGCATCATTTGTTGATATTGCATTGGCGCAAATCCCGTTACTCCCCCCTCTTAGCGACAGCTCTGCACACGGGTCGTGCGCAAAGCTGGTGTATTGTCTATTGAGAAGCGTTGTCATTTTGGCAGAATGACGCATTGTTTGCAAATAATTCAAGTTTTGTCAAAGACACATCGCCGCCGTTCGAGAATGCTAAAACCCTTCTATAAACGATGGTATATTCCCACTCCAATGGTGTTAGCGAAATAATGTACACGTAAAATCGGGATAATTATGGCTGCAAAAGGAATATCTGCACTATCCAAGTCGCTTTCACATTGAATTCGGCGACAGAACAAGCGTGGTTGGAAGATAGGTCTCTTTTAATCATATGACGAGCAGAAGTAGAAGGAAGGTGCATGAGGGCTCTGCGTGCCAGCGTGGCGGTAATATAGCGAGAAGGAAGCGTATGGATACAGTCTACCCATTGGATAAAAGTGTTTCTCGGGCAGCGAAAACACCATGAATGATAGGAAGCATGTGTTGACCAATTCAGTTGGAACGCAGGCGTTGCATATATAGGAAACGCTAAGGTATCGTGAACGAAAGCAGTCCGAACAGATTTATGGCTATTGAGCGAACATAACTAGTTGGTTTATTATATTCTGATAGGTATCAGAAGGCGTGAGTTCTTTGTCTTTTTGTAGTGGATCGGACCTGTTGAGGCCGATCTAAGGCATAACCCATGGGTAGGTTCTTTTTCTGGCAGAGCATTGACCTATTGGAACGGTGACCATTCATTGTCCACAGTATGAATGAAAATTTGCGAACGAATGACTTCAGCTGAGACTTTATTATTTTTATTTGATTCTAAAAAGATTGCGTCGCAATTGGAGCGAGAACCACCTTGTGCACAATGTAAATGCGATAATAAATATTGATGCTAACTAGATATTTATAGCCTTATGCCTACCACAACGTTGTCATAGCATTATAGCTATACTTACCAAGTGGTAGTATAAAGAAAAACGGAAACCAGCATATAAAGTAGACTCCGACAACTATTCCTAAGGTCTTAGCAGCTTTCTTTTGCCTTTTGAACTTTGCTAGCCTTCCCTGTAGTCCCATTGTGACCATCTTAGGGTTTCCATCGTCTCTAAATTCCCGTTGTTGACTGGCGGACTTTGAGTGGCCTTGATGAACACGCAAGGTCAGTTCCCCACTCTCTGAGCTTCCAGCTCCTGAAACGACAGGAAAACAGCACACAGCATGGTTTTGCGTTAAACTAATATATATACTGGGTCATTAGTCAACTGATTAGCGAGTGCTATGGCTTTATCGTATTCAAGATACTGTATGGGTGTTATGTTATAATGGGGTGCAATGAACACCGTATTGAGTCAATCCCCTTTAAAAATCCGCTATACATAGAGGCTCCGGTGACTTTATATTGTTAAACACTGCTCAAATCTGAGCATAGAATTTGTCCCCTTTCGTAACCTAAACAGTGTAAAGCTTAGAGTTATCCAATGAGAAAAAATTGATGACTACTGCGCAATTGGACGTTTACGTACTATTTATTTGGCGACGCATTATATAGCAGGAATGGACGTATGCTATCTGCGAATAATGACAATGTACCTATTGTTTAAGGCGACAAATTACCTTCTATGTTATCGGCAGCAGTGAAAATATCTAAGGATTTCAAACCCAGTATAAGCAGTTCGGCTATTTCGGTTGGAAAAAGTAAGACGGTGCTTTGCTGAGCGTTTAGGTCAGTCAGTGCACTGTTGTCGTGTGCTTCGGATAGATCACCTATGGATATGGTTTCACTGAAGCAAGTAGACATAGCGGAAATACTTTTTCACAAAACAATGAATGTAGCAAATAAAAAAAATTTCAATTTCAATAGTTCGAATAATAAAGCCTTGTAATAAACTCTCTGATATACCGTTGGAATATGAAAGTTGTCGAGCCTCAAAAAATCCGTTTCCAACTGGCCGTGCGTTTAGCAAAATGACGATAGTTAAATATTTTTTTTTTATCTCTACAACCCTTATGTATTCAAATTTAACTATAAGCTAATTATTGCCCTCAGAAAGATTGATCGTACGCTATTTCCTTAATCAAAGCAAAACTAGCAACCGTCAAGTCTCCTTGCAGATTCATATGTACAATTTCGGATTGTTTCATCTTGTACCACTATCACAAACAAAAATACTGCAATAAAAAAAAAACATGCAAACATGATCGATGTTCTGTGGGCAAAATTCCTGCACGTCAGAGAAGACGAATCAATGAGAATACCCCCTCAACAACCGCGGCCAATATTCTGCGATGATTAGCAACTTCCGCGTGAAGCACCGATTATATTGTTAGAGGGTGGATCTTTCAAAGCCTGTAGAATCTACTAATGAAAGGCCAGTGAGTGGAAGTTCGAGTGGTATTGGGTGAGGGTTTGCAGAAACACGACTCATCGAACGGGTAATAACAGCTGCTGTTCTGCTCGTGAGAGATTTAGTGCCCCCAGCTCCAGTTTATCGCACTAAATGGCCCGCTGTGTCCCTCATCTAGACGACACGTGCGTTACACGAGAGAGAGCGAGAGAGAGAGAGAGAGAGAGAGAGAGAGAGCTCTAAAGTCCGAAAAGATTTTTCCTTAAAGAGCGTGACTAACGATGGCTTATGATCTCGGTAATTTGGAAAATAGCGTCTTTCTTACAGCACACACCGTTCTGTTATAAACACAGTGCTATAGAGTAAGTTCGCGTTTTTGTGGCTTGGGTCCGGAGCGGGCCGTGTCACGGCACACAGCCCAATATTCAGAATGAAATAAGAAATCCGTAAGTGATATGCCACGCCTCCGCTGAATACAACCGTACGAAGTATACCGCTTTGCTTATTAGTCAAACAAAGTTACGGAAACGGTCCATCTTGCAGTCGCTATTCATTTAGACTGTCTTTTATTGTGACTCCCGATCCGATAAACGACTGCCGGGTATTCGCTGTCCTTCAACAATGAAATGGAGTAACCTGCGTTTGTATGAAGCAATTTCCTGATCTTAGCTGCCTATACTAAGAAACAATAAGTGACTAAAAACCAGGTTTTCGAGCCCACACTTCTAACCTGATATGTAATCCAACAAATTATATCCTTTGGAATTAATGGTGCCGCCTATTGTCTTTAACGCGTAGAAAGAATTTGACCGTCTACCACCTTTACACAACAATGTATTCTAGGAACATGAAAAACCTTAGACGTTTCTTCGTGTTTTCTTCTGGGGAATGGGCGTTATCATTGCTTGTTTTAGATCCGTTACGTATAAAACAGGTAAGGTCAGATGGGGGGTAAAGGACATAACTTGGTTTGAACGAAACACGTGATAGAACTGGTCGATCTTGCAGTGGACTCTTGCATAGATAAAGAATCATCATAAAACTATACCTTATCCGCCACGCTCGTGTATACACGACGGCTATTCACAGATGTGTACATACTAATACAGTACTAAGTCATATAAGGGCCGTAAAAGCAGGAGCACCTAAAAGCATTTCTGCCTTTTAGCCGGCACACTTAATCTTATATTCCGTGACGTACCTTAATAGATTAATCTATGTTTATCACTTGAAAATAATAAGCATTGACAGATCTAGGGCATCTTTTAATGTTGGAAATCTAACGCGTGCCACATTGAGAGGCAAACTGAGCTTTCTAGTCCTTTACGAAGCTTACATCTTCTGTACATTTTTTTATATGGGAATTGTCATTGTGCCCAAATAGCGGAAAGATAAGTGGTGTGAGAATACTATTATGCATCAAGAAACAAGTGCACTAAAGACGTGAGACGAAAGCGTAAAAATCACACACAGGCATAAACATCTGAGTAGATAAACAAATATTTCGAGTTTTACGTCCGCTACTGGTACTAAGTATTATTTCAAAGGAATGAGTCCAAGCACGCAACAACGTTCGGCTTCAGATCAAGATCACCTTATAGCTTCCCGAGTTTAGTGGATTGAATAATGTTAATCTTTATTAGGGACGTTAACCGCCATCGAAACGGTAGGTACATGAGGAATCTGAGTAAATTTCTTCCCTTTTACGACCTCAGTAACCGTCAAGTAATAAGTAGAGTATAAATAACCTGAGCGTTTATAAAGACAAAGACAGTGTAACCATTACACTGTACCTCGAGCATTTTTTTTTTAATATATACTAGCGCAAGCTTTTTCTTACAAGATAATTTAAGGATACGCTTACAAAAAAAAATCCGAACAAAAACGCGCTTCTTGTTCGGCATTGTAAAAAATGGTCATAGCTTGGTCCTACCAAGGAAAACTCTGCAAAGAAAAAGCAATATTACTAGAAGAATCTTGTATTAAAAAGTGCCTAATCTCACATATACATATGAAGGAAAAATATTAGACTTTTATAAATGGATCTGGCAGATTTTTTATTTGAATAATTTCTGAACTGCGCAAATGAAACCTAACCGGTAAATACCTCCGAGTGAAAACTGGCTGAGTTTACAAATTTAAAGATGACTTTAGAAGAAAAACATATCTTAGTTTTGATAACTGGCGGTCGGTGTTCCAGTTTTTCTTCCTCGAATACCAAAGCACTACGGAACTTTATCGATGACTGATCAAAACAGCAACAAATGCGCAATATGGGAGTGAAGCAAACGTTTCAAGAACGAAGATTGTAGCGTTGAAGGTAAGCAAAGTGGTGATAAGAAGTCGGGACATAAAAGACAAAAACGCATTACGGCAATTCAGAGAACTTGTCACGAATGCCGAACTTTATGTCTGAGAACTCAGCTACGCCACACGTAACGTGCTACAGAATTATAGCCTAAATCCTGAAAACACGGAAACTGAGTATAAAGTGGTCCTACTCGAATTGACTCGAGGCCAGTGGAGCCAGCGTGTGGTGTGTCCCATATGCAACTTGAGAAACTTGAATCAACAAAACAAATCCGCCTGGAACATAGGGTAGCTATAGACGAGGCCAACTTCGACCCCTACCGTCACCCAAAAGGGATTATACGAGAGAATCGTGTCGTTCTAAAGAAAATTCGAGTTCGATGGCAGTCTTGAGTAGGATCGTATCTAAAATAATGGTAATATCTTACTAGATAATAAATATCAGAAATATCCGCTACTCGCTAAAAATTAAAAAAAAAAAAAATGGATACAGCCCACTATTTGAAGTTCCTCGAGAGACTTATGGTTATTATATCAAAACACATCGGTTGTTTGGTGACAATACCATATCTCATCGTTACGCCATAATACGGATTGAACAAAAAAAAGAACTTGTTTATTCTACCGATCTAAGTTCGTACGATTATGGCGCTTTCTATGACTTAAAACGGGCAACCAATGGGCAAGCATCGATTTAGTTCGAGAAGACATAAATAGAAAAATTACATATAAAAACTGAGACGCAAATATATGACAGTCTCTTTTAATGAGCGTGCGTCTGTGAGACTGCGAACTTAGAACACGGAGAGTGAATCTATTACCGTCAGGATCAAGTGATATCATTCTTTTGTCATAACACGCCCGCTGTAACTTGGCTCTGACTGATAATAGAGAAGCTACTGGTGGTTCAACGTGGTGATTAGATGATTGTAAATACTCAGAGCACAGCTTGATTGACTGTAAACTTCTCAGCCAGCGGTGAGCGAGGTCTGAAAAGGCGTCTTTACACATATCGCTTAGCATTAGTATTTACCAACCATTTAATTAGTAGCTCTTGGGTTAAGGTTATAGTTATTCTTTCAAAATATGTATATCTATATAACCGTGTCTTCACGAAATCTTTCGACGCCCTTCTCGTTCAGTTCATGTATAGTACTAATTTTCTCATCTTATTCCATCAGATCTTTCGATATACTTTTAAATAAATATACTAATACGTGTATTAGTCGTAGGGCGTGTGACAGCCGGAAGGATAAGTGTATTAAAAAATTACTTTTAACCTTAAATTTTACATCGCTTATGTAAGTATAAAGCTGAGTAGACACGAGCAACCAATATGATGAACTATACCGCATCCGTATTCTGAATGCTGAACGGGGTCGATTCAGATATCTTAGATAGTCCGCTCAAGTCTGCGTCAACTGTCATCCCCCGTCCTGTACGTTAGACTGAACGATTTACGTACTCTTTGCACGTGCAGCTTCTGCCGCCTCTGTTAGACTGCATGGAAAAGTCTATAAAGTATTCGGTCGCAGAGTACGTGTCACCCGCACTAGATTAAAGGTGCGTCGTTCGTATTAATAAAGAGGCCAAGCGAATCCCTCCCATCCCATGCCATGCCGGTAAACGACATAGGCGGATGGTCAAGCAGGCGGAAATAGCCACTTCTAAGGCATCTGCCGTCGGTAAAATGGAGAGAGAGGAAAGACGAAGAAACAATGGCTCACGCCAAAAGAATGGAAAATTGCTCTGTTGAGAAAGTGCTTATACTTGCGACAGGCGGCAGCAAAGAGGGCTTCGTTTCTTTGACTGGCGCAACCGGCCACTCCCGGCTTCCCGAAACCGCTTTCCGACGCTTTCGCTAAACGAATGAATAAAGACGAACGAATGAAAAAACGAAGGGCTTCTCAAAGAACGCCTGAATCGTGATTTTTGAGAGACCCCCCTTCCTCAGTTAGCGTAAGAAAACACGGGGAGCACTTGCCGTATAACCGCAAAAAGTGACAAATATGAACGTGACCCTTGTCTTCTCACAGCGTGATACTATCCGTGATTGCCGCTGAAGCTAGCACGGCATCTGATTGTGAATACTGAGTATAAAGTACCTTGTCCCTTCGATCATGTGGCACACTGAAATGGACCCGTACATATAGAATTAAAATAAAAAAAAAGAAGGTTAAAAATGACAATGTCGAGAGAGGCTACTTTCAGAAAAAGTAAGAGAGGGGGCTTTACTCTATACTACTAGTGTGCTCATTCACCTATGGCGTGTGTTCACCGTATTCAGACACACAGAGACGTACTATTTCGTGCATCGTGACCTTCCTGAACATACCTGACTTGACAATTTTTACACCGGTTTCGAGAAACTCCGTTTGACGTGTAGCCGCTCGGTAGATTCGTTGGTAGACGACAAGTATGACGAGAGTCGGTATATAGAATGAAAATAGCACCGAAAAAATGACGTAGCCCGTTTTTTTGTTCACTTCGCACGAGTACTGATTGTTGGGACTAGGCGGATCCCGCCAGCCGAATAGCGGGCCAACTGAGATAATAAACGAAAGAATCCACACCACAACGCACGTGGTGACGGCTCGCCGATGCGTGACGATACTCGAGTAGCTCAATGGTCGCGTCACGCCGATATAGCGGTCGACACTGATGACGCACAACGAGTTGATGCTTGCAGTACAGCAAAGAACGTCGGTTGCCGCCCAGACGTTGCAAAATATCTGTCCAAAATACCATTGCTTATCCAGCAGCTCTAACGTGGCCGAAAACGGAAGAACGCTTGCTCCAAGCATTAAATCGGCAATAGCGAGATTGACAATGAAATAATTCGTCGTCGTACGCAGGTTGGGATTCATGAAGATCGCCACGAGCACGAGCAAATTGCCCGTAATCGTCAACAGGATAATTAGCAGAAGGATTGCGCCTTTCAACGTGATCATCGTGATGTTCGGTTCCGTCGACGACGTCTGCAGTAAGATATCCGTATAGTTGGACATACTCGGCGAGACGACCTTGTCAAGGACGATAAGAACCGATTCATTGCTGCCGCTGCCGGCACTATTGCTGGCTACGCTATCCAGACCAGCATTGGTCGTCGTTACAGAAGCACCGGTACTGGCTATAGTGACGAGCTGCGTCGCAGCTGTCGTCATTGTGTTGACCGTCGTCTTGGCTGTGAGCGCAACAAACGGGGCTGCTGTCGATAAAATCTCCATAGTCGTTCCCGGAGGCTGACAGCGGAGGTACCACGTACTTCGACAGTAAGCGGAACCACGACACGTAGGAGACCCTGAAGATGCGATAAGCGATGGTTGAACTTGCGAAGGAGATGTTGTCAGTGTGTCACAGCAATGGTGACACGCGACGAGCGACCTCAACTAGATGAGATGATTGCAACTTCTCTTGGGGCGCTGACAACATCTCGGGACGCGTCGTCCATCTGTAAAGAATGAAAGTACAGAAGGAATCGACAAAAGAGACGTTAATGAAACGTAAAAAAAAAGCGGAAAATAGTGTGGTCAATTGGCACTGTTGCCATGTTCATATTTAGAGATATTGTTAGGGTGCGTGATGTTAAGGCGTATCTTCGCCCTTTTGATATCAGCAATGATCGATTTTATAAACGGACGCGCATATTAGATGGAAATAACAGAAAATCACCCCATTTTTAGGGTTATTATACGAGTTAGTATTGACTTTTTTGTGCATTCATTTACTTTTATATCGCTATGTGAGTTTATGTTACCTTATTATAAACAGTTTCATACCTTTCCTTTCCTTTGTTTCAAAAAGCCTTAGGCTGCAAATACTAGCCTTAACAGCATGGAGCTTATCAAACAAAGCGACATCTTTCCTCTTGAGCGCGATAGTAGCGTAATCTACGAATGACCCGAACGAAAAGGACACGTCAATGAACTTCACGAAGTTTATTCAGTTTCGTATGGACGACAATATCATTCGTTTAGCCAAACTCCTCCTCATAAATGTCTCAGTTAAATTTTACGTACAACAACTTGTGCCAACAGGACGCTGCTGCGGCCGCCCACACATTGGACACATGACGATACGCTCAAATAAGTCAATCTACGCCTATTAAAAGTTGAACGAGCAGCAACTCTTTCGGCGTTATTGCGCCTTCATGTCTGTGCCCTCTAGAGAGCTTTTGCAACCATTCCTTTTCTTGACGGTATGTTCCAATCTGTGAACAGATAGCTGGCCGCGTTCTTATGCTCTCATAAGAAGGCGTCGAATCGGCTGAGTGTGATCCTGTATAATAAAAGCTGCTCTCACTCCACCAGTCCACATTTAGGCTGACGGCGCGCACCACCACTGGCTTCCTAACCTTCTCCTTGCTGCCTCATAATAAATGCCCTCTATTTATCACGACGTGTTTCGCTTCGTCTACACACACAGACGAGAAAGGACAGAAAAAGATATGGCTCAAGACACAGCGAGCGAGCGAGATGGAGGCGAATATGAGATAAAGGAGGGAAAAAGCACCAATGAATAGGAGCAGTTAGAGGCCGAAAGCATATGCTGCAGGCTTTGTGCTGGTTGGGAAACAGAAATGCTGTCCTCGTCTCTGTAGTTGAAGGGGACCTCGTCGTTTCGCTGTTGCGGTGGGCGCGCTGGCCTGACGGCCCCGGCGGTACTGGCCACTCTGCTGTAGCCTTCGGCCGACGGGTTAAACTATCCAAGGCTGGCATGAGTCGATTGGCGCATTGGCTTTGCTCGACCGCCTTTTCCTCCTACAGAGGCTCCCTGTTTTTAGCGTGCCTCGGCTTTCATTGCCCTGTGGTTGGGAGCTTTGTAGAAACGTTTCGTTTTGCGGTGCCGGTAGTGCCCGAAAGAGCTATGGCAACAGCCGCCGCTGCTAAGCCGACAGCCACTACAGGCAGCGTGAGCTCGCGTTTGTACATCACTTGATTTCTTCTCTTGAAGAAGCGTAAACGACCCCGTGAGTCTACGCCTCTTACTGCGGACTTTCTCGTGTCGTCTCTATTGCTTTTTTCGCCTTCGGTGACCTAGCTCTTTCTTTGCTTAGGAATTTCACTCTGGGTCACTAACTTATAAAATTAATTGCTGTCGTTTCGGTTCCCGGAGGGTTTTCCCTTTATCGTCCTTTTTTTTTCTTCTTTTTTCGCTTTTTTGTGTGGTGTGTGGCCGGTAACGCGCGCTCACTGACTGAACCGTGTCTCGTCGGCCGATCCGTTTATTCATCCGTCCGTTTTTTCAGCAGAAAAACGCGAAGGCGGGGAAAAGTGGGATAAAGATTGAAGAGACGGAGTACGAAGCGAGAAGCGAAACTGCCCACAGGAGAAAAGAGCAGGTGGCACAGAATGATGATGATTAGACAGGTTCTGTAGGATACAACCGATGCAGAAGCCACGGTGGCAGGGGCTGCAGTTATGCCAGCCTTTGCGTCTGGAACAAACGCGTCCTGAAGCGTCGCAATCGTGGTCTGGCTAGGCTTTCGTTGTCGGTCGACAGTCTACAGGGCAGGATCAGTGCGTAGGAAGGTTTTTTGGCAGTTGGTTGATTGCTTGAACGCTTGATGAATTGATGGCCCTGTTGGTAACAATAACGTGCCCTAGGTAGGAGAGTGTCTTCAGAGAGACAGTCAAGAGGGTCACTTTTGAAACCCACTAGTCAGCAAGCGCTCGGCTCGTGCCTTTCGTCTTTTGACGAAGCTCATGGCAACAATACAGCACAATTGTTAAAAATTAATTGTGACTAAATTAAACTTTATTATACGTTGGATACTTCAGCATCGCTTCATACTTGCTCTCACCATGAAACGAAGTGTATGTGCAGCCGGTTTTCAATCAGGACCACTACACTTATCCTCAGCTTTAATAGGTTAGCTGTAGCTGCATCGGGTATCAGAAACGTGTAGACGCCTATAAACATCCGTCCCGAAAACTGCGCGAGTCTGACGCTCCGTCGCGTGTTTCATATTATACCGAGGGCATTAAACAAAGGAGACGTTTTTTCTGCTGTTGGTAAAATTGCTTCATTCGCCTAGATAGATGATGCCGGATAATGCACACAAGACCAGAAGCAACCACGTTTGAAATAGCGTAAATGATAACAGCGGCAACCTGCATCCTACACAGGTTCAAACCATAAGGCAGTGTCCTAATGAGAACACCTACAAAAACACTTAAAAAATGTTACAATTCAAGCTAAAATGAATAATCCGTATGGTTCTAACCACATAATTGTAGATGTACGCGTCATATCTCGAACCTTATTTTTTGGCACTTGGAACTTCAGCATGTTAAATTAAAGCGAGATAGGACCTTACCTGTGCAGACTGACTGTGCAGACAGTAGCGATCGTATCAATAAATTCTGCAAGCAAAGTTCCACAACGAAATATAAAAATCAAGCTTCTACCCAGTTTGAAAATCAATGTAGTCGATATGTTAGTAAAATCGATAACAATCTCTGTAGCAATTAGCCTACCATACTAATTTTCTGTACGTACACACGCTACATAGACTGTTTACCTTCTCTTTCACAGATCCCATGTACCTGGTAAAGTGTAGAAATATGTAAAGTCATCAACAAGCCAACCGAACGGGCTTGCTGATTCATAGAATTTAGTCGTCCTCAGAGGAAAAAAACGTATGTCACAGTACAACGAGACCTTTCAAAGAAATGTTTTTATCATATAAAGCAAACCCAACCGGTGCCAATGTACATTCTGTGTTGTTAAACATTGATTACGAACACTGAAAGCTAGTCTTGAATCAAGCAGTTTTTGAAAACCTACGAGTTACTAAGCCAAAAGCAAGTTACGAGACGTACTACCAAAAATAGGACAGCTGCGTAGGTAACCAACCGGGAAACAGGTTGTAAAAATGCATACAGCATGCCTAACGGAGCGTTCAAGAAGAAATATTCGTGTTTTCCAAGTAGAAATTGCTGCGCCTCGCTACTGCCACTACGGTGTTAAACTAACAGACCGCAAAATAACCTCTTTCTGCCATTTATAAGATCAGTTCAGGGAAAAGGTTTAGCGAAACGAGCCGCGTTAAGTCCGGACTTCGTAACATCACAAGAGAAGCTAGGCAACTGGCCATCAATCGTAATCTATGTATAACATTGCTGAGATCATAGATAACTCTGCAGAATAAACCCTTATTGGCTTATTACCAACCCGCTTTGAATACGACCTACTGCTAAACTGTTAGTCAACTTTAAGTAAGTTGCTAGTTAAACCTCTAACACACGTCTTAAACACGGAGCTTCTAAATCGGTTACGTGTTAGATAACGGCTAAACGTCTAACAATGAATCTATGAATGTTAACACATTATATTGATATATTGCAAATAATTTGCATCAAAGCGTTGAAAAAAGAACAGTATACACGTGCGCCACCTTCTTTTCCCCCCAGTATCTATTTAAAAGCCCAAGATTTGACAGTAAGTCTGGGAAGTTGTCTGAGCAGGGATTCAGTTAACTCTAACTTCGGACATCAGGCAGCCAAACAAGTTAAGATACTCAATTAATTTCCCCTCCTTGTATTTATTGTATAGTTTTGTGCCATGCAGTAATAGACAGTGTATAATCGGCTGTTACGCGAGCTGCAAGAAGGGAGTGGACAAGAAAAACTTACTGGACTGTACTTAAAGGAGTTTCTACTTGTTCATTTAGAGCTACCATTAGCTGATATCTGGAGGCGTTCTTCCAAAGATAATTTAAGAGGGTTTAAGAACGTTCTCGATGCGGGAAAAGTTCTCAGTTTCCATTAACTGTTCAATAGGTCTGCACGTGTCTATTTGATGGATATGCTTGCCTAGAAGAAGTAAATTTATCATGAACACTGTTTAGGCCTCTTCAAGGCATATATGCCAGACTGTATCGCCAGCTACTGTGTACATGCTACATATCTGTATAAAAGGCTGCAGAAGGAGCCGTCAGAAATTGTGCTTAGCAGTTATTTGCAGATCTGCCTATGAGCTGATTGGATTAATAGGGCATAGGCAATCTGGAAAGTCTTTTGAGAATGATTTTTGTACAAGTTTTTTTCATTTTGGTCACTGTGTCCTTGGAGCCAGACTCAGATATTTCGGACTTCACATCTTTGATGAATTCGCCAGATTGACTAGCTATGTATACTATCTCGAATACTGTTGTGATTGTGGAAAAAAAAAACTACATTAAATCTTTACTCAAGTGTTTCGGGGACGTTCAAAAAACAACATGTATACTAGAACTTGAACCGTGTTTTTCTGTGAAGTAGACTTTGTTTGACAGATGCGAAAATAGATAACTTCAGAATTGCGATATGCACACGTGCATCACCAAGAACGACTCGCTTCGGTAATATTGTCGGTAATAATAAGGAGTATCTCACTTTCCGCCTCCAGGTCTCGTACCTAGGTTCTGCGCCACGTTCAGGAAGCTAGTCTCATTTTGTCTCCACTATC